CCAGGGATGGTGGTTTCATCCGTCTGTGCAGCTTGCACGTTGGCAGCTTTAAGTGCCCAGGTCATTCTGACATGTGGCTGCAATTGAGAAGCATTGCTCAAAACCAGCTGTTCTCCACGTGTGGTCCCAGGACCAGCAGGATCAGCATCATGGGGACCTCATTAGGAATGCAAATTTGGGGCCCCACCCCAGACTACTGAGTCAGAAATTCAGAGGGTGGGGCACAGCCATCTGTCTTCTAGAAGACCTCCTGGTGGTTCTGAAGCACACTACAGTCTGAGAATCCCTGCCCTGAACCAGGTGACACTGGGCAAAGTCTCTGAGCCCTGGGGACCTGGTTTGTGTCTAGAAGGAGGGTTTGAACTGGACGATCTTCCCTCTGGGTTCTCCTGGGGCTTCCACTATCCCACTCTAGCCTTCTGTGCCGCTGGAAGGGAACGCTGCAGACCCTCGGAATAGCAGTCCCCGAGTTGCACAGTGGTCTGAAGGTGCGGAGTGACTGTCCCCCCTGATGCAGAAGTTACCTCTCGGGGCACCTGGGTGGCTCCGTCAGTTAAACGTTTGACTCTTGATTTTGGCTCAGGGCACGGTCTCACAGTTTGTGGGATTGAGCCCCATGTCAGACTCTGCACTGACAGCACAAAGCCTGCTTGGGATGCTCCCCCTCTCTCTCTATCTGCCCTTCCCCCTCCTCTGCTCTCTCTCTCTTTCTCCTTCTCAAAATAAATAAACTTTAAAAAAAAAAAAAAGAAGAAGAAGTTACCTCTCTTTAAAGTCGTCTGCACCCGCCTGGATATTCTCTGTCTGAAGCATGAGCCGGGCATTTTCCAAGACCGCCTCGCCCACCTAGAAAGATCACACACATCAGAGGAGACAAGGTCACTGGACCATCTTCCCTTACTTCCCACTGTGACTCGCACTGGGCACAGATCTGGGGAATAGAGCACTTTTCTTACAGCAAATATTTTTAGAATTCAAGTATCTCTCTCCAAAAAGGTAGGGAGGAGATAAACCACAAAGCATAAAATCTGGCTGTCTTTTAAGAGCCTTTAGAGTTGGATTTTTGGAGCTAAAATATTACTCAAAGGCAGACTTGTTCCTAGCCTCTGTCATAATGCTGAGCTCTCAACTGCCAGTGAAGCTTCTGGCTCCTTAAATGAAGTTTCACTGGTTTGATTTAGTGGCTCTTAACATTTTCTGCTCATGGGTGCCTTTGAAAGGCTGACGAAATCTTTAGGTCAGTGCTGTCCAATAGAACTTTCTGTGGTTATGGCACGCTTCTATGTCTGCACTATCACGGCCACACGTGGCTACTGGACACTCAAGATGTGGCCAGGATGACTGAGGAACTGAAAATTTAATTTCATTTGAATTTAAATAGCCACCTGTGACTAGTGGCCACTGTACTGGGCAATGCAGCTCTAGAATTTCATTCATCCTCAAAACGTACATATGAACATAGATACACTATGCATACAGTCTGGGAGTTTCCTGGAGCCACGAAGAGTGGCTTTTCTTTTTCTTTTTTAATTTTTTTTTTCAACGTTTATTTATTTTGGGGACAGAGAGAGACAGAGCATGAACGGGGGAGGGGCAGAGAGAGAGGGAGACACAGAATCGGAAACAGGCTCCAGGCTGCGAGCCATCAGCCCAGAGCCCGACGCGGGGCTCGAACTCACGGACCGCGAGATCGTGACCTGGCTGAAGTCGGACGCTTAACCGACTGCGCCACCCAGGCGCCCCGAAGAGTGGCTTTTCAAAACTGGCTCCCCAAACCCTACAGAGTCCTTCAAAAGTGGGGGTTGGGGGGTAGTTCTCTCCTTGATCTGAGAAACATATATATTACATACGTAGCTTTTCTATAATCTTCAGTTTGGGGGGGATAAGAGGACAGTTACTTTAAAAGAAGGACGCAAGTCACTGTTTTCAGTCCTTTTGTACTTGGATGTGAAAGTGTTGTAAGCTCTTCATTGAGTGGGAGGTCTCCCAGCACCAGAAGTCAGAGATGGCATGAGATGAGAAAGTAGGAGAGGAGAGACCCTCATCTGCCTGTTCCCCAGGGTTCCCCAGGGCTGGGCTGAAACTGAGAGAAGATCAAATTTGGTAGCAGGAAATTCAATGAAACAAGACAGGACATCCCCACTGAAACAAGGCAGGACGCAAATCAGTACTCTCACTGTGGTTGGGGCTTGGCCCAACCCTGTGCTCTCTCCGTTTCCCCAGGAGAGCCCTAGCCCACCGTGTTGACATGGACCCTCCCCAAGCTTGGCTCCTTGTTAACTGCTAGGTCTCCAAAGCCTGGCTTATGGTAGACATTCCATCGATACCTGCTGAATGAATGCATGCATGAATGAATGGTGCGACTGTGGGTGAACCATACCCCTCCCTTCCCCCGTCAGGGTTTGGAGGTCATTTCCATTCCTCAGAAGCCCCCTGAGATTTTGTTTTTAGTTAGGTAGGGCGAGGCCAACAGATTGGGAGATGGCTGACCTTGAAAAGATATTACTCACAGTTCCCAAAGGCAGGGGCAGCCACACCAGGAGGGGCCATATAACGAAGTACAAGGGTCGGCTGCAAAAGGATGAGGGCAAAGTGTGGGCAAAAGCCTTTATTGTGGTTTTCATGGGAAGGATGGGAAGGAATGGGTGAGGCAAGGTAAATAGCCAACCGGGTTTAGGATTGAGTAGTTTGAATCATTTCAGCGGTCTCTATGGGTCCCTGGAATGGTCTTGGGCCACCTGGGATGATTAGAGCAGAGGAATATTGCCCCCTGGAGTATAAGTCCAGAAAGAGAAGGCAGATGGGGTACAGACTCTCGGACTCTTGGATTGGCTGGTTTGCATATCAAAAGCATGTTGGGCAAGTGGCTTATTATCTCTAAGATCAGCTAGCTCAGTGAGGGGCTAACAGCGAGGCCCTAGATGCCAGAGCACCAAGAATACAGAAAAAAAGAAAATACAGTCAATATTGTTGAATATAATTCATCTAAAGGACCACGGCTATGTGAGGCCTCCCTGAGGACTGGCTTTGGCTGGTCTGGCCGAGGCTCTCTTCAACCTCCTGCATGCAGTTGTGGCCCCCACACTCAGGAGCCCCTTTTCCAGACTTTGGTTGCCACTTTACAGATGCCATTTTCCAGATGACAGACTTAAAGCCGAAGGCAATCAATCACCCTGCTGGATTTCTCACAACAATGCCCGAGCAAATGTCCCACTCGAGTGTGGGACACCGAATCACAACAGGTATCTATCTAGACTGCGGGCCCCAAAGCTACGGCTGTTAGAGAAGGCGGCTTTACAACCTCTTTAGACAGAGATTGTGGCCACGCAAAGGCAGCTGTGGGCAGCCGTGGGGCCTGGAGCTTATGCAATGTGGGAGACTGCCTTTAAGAAAAAAAAAATAAAGACTAATACAAAGGGCCATGCACAAATAAGGGACCCTGAAGCTTAAATTCTTAAAATTCTTCACCTTGGTACAGCTTAATTTTGTCTGTTTGTTTCTGCTTTTTAAATTTGGGCCCCAGGGGGTGGGCAGAAAAAGTACAAACCAAGCAACACTCTGGCGCCTATGTTGGAAACGCGTATCGAGAGCCCTATGATTCGGGACGAACAGAAGGATGGCTGAAAATGCAGTCGCCCCAAGTCCTGCCATCCAGCATAAGCACCGCCAGCATTTGGATATGTTGTATTTCCTCTCAGCCTTTGCTTTGCCCAGCTACAACAGTACCCGGTGTGTTCATTTTTAACGCTCCCCTAGTTGATTGCAAACTTTATGCAGAAGAGGTGGCAGGGAGCCATCCACGAAGGAGTCTGATAGGAAATGCCAGCCGCCGCGTGATCGGCTGCGGTGAGGGGTCGGCTGCTCAGTGGTCCTCCTGCTCAGTTGGGGTTGAGGACAGGAGCGCTTCCTGGGGTAAATTGGATAGCAGACGGGGTAGTTGCGTCCAAATGTCTGTCCCAGGCAGCTCGTGTGGCACTGGGCTCAGGGAAGCTGGAGGCCTTCCTGCTCTAACTGTTGTTTAGTGACAACCAGGGGCTTATTCAAGCCTCAAGCAGAGGCTAATTATAGGCTGACTTGCCAAAGCACGGTTGCTGTCCGTGCTTCCCCATCTCCTTCACATGAGGAGCTTAAAATAAACCGCCAGCCCCCAATTCAGCCATGGAGCCCTTCACTGTTCTCTTGTGGGCACCTCAGCCTAGCAGAGGGGCATCCTCTCTGGAGTTCGTGGTGGCTCAGCCTCCCCCACTGTAGAAAGGGCCCGTCAGGCAGCATGACCAGGGCTGGCACCTTGGCCGAGGTTTAGCACAGGCTGGGGACCGGGCTGGTGGCCAAGGCCTAGAGTAAAGCACGGAGCCTGCCGGGGCACAGGCTCTTTGTCTTCCCACCTGGGAAAGTTTCGTGAAATCCTCCCCAGGGCTGAGCACGCGAACTGCAGAGGGGAGGGCATGCACTGACCACCTACGGATGTGCCCGGCACACCTGCTGGGGCTGGCTTGTACTGGCTTGCCGGGGCAGGCTGGTAAATACTTCAGGAGTTTTGGGAGCCAGTGGTTAAACACAGCCATCACGAACATTTTAATTATGTGAACTTACAATTAAATAAATTATACGAAAAACACCATTAATAAATGCTCAGAATACAAAGGCCATGATTACTCATCACTTCCTCCTATGTTTGACTATCATCCTGCTAGTGAGGTTATTTCCTCCCGTTGTGTCTGCACAGTGGAAACACCGTATGATGTATGTTATGTGCGTCTCTTCTCAAGTGTGCATTCAGTGACAGCATGGTGGTAGCTTCGTATCAGCCGGGGTGAGAGTGTTTACACCAGGGAAGTTGGCAAACACGGTAAACCAGAGCCTTTTATTGACGGAAAGCTGATTGTTACCCAGATCCTGGCTCGGTGGCTGGGCCTCCCATGCTACTGAATACTTAACACTCATGACTTCGCTCAGTGCTCCTGATATTCAGCCCTGACAGCAACACACCTATTTTACAGAGGAGGGTGCCAAGGCCATGCAGAAGTTGCCCCAAATCACCCGGACGGAGCAAGGCAGAGCCAGAACGCCAGGCCAGGTCAACGCGACTCCAAAGTGTGCGTATTTTTGTCATCAGCTTTGGAAACTAAAGGGCCCATCAGCATCAAGAGAGAAACTCATTGCGGAGGACTGTCTTCTGTCTTTTTCCTGGCACAGAACAGCCAGGAATCGTGGTTCCTATTTGGGCTGTGTCACGGAGAGAGAGGGATGTCTTCCCCACTGGCGTGAGGCAGCTCACCAAATCAAACCAAACAAACCAGCTCCCACGCTAACCTCCTGAACTTGCATTTCTGAGCCCGTAAGCTAAGCAGAGTTGAGCAGGGCCAACTCTGAAGAAGGCCTGGAGAAATCCTGCTGCGGAGTGCTTTGCTGTCCAGCCTACAGAAGAGACGTCATTTGCATTTAAAAGTGAAGGAAATGCACATTCGCTATCTGGTCCTCTGAGATTCATGCTTGAAGAGGATGCAAATTAACTTCACCTCTCTGGTCATCTTTTCTTTCCAGGAGTGAAGGCCATACAAAGACCAAATAGTAATATGTACAGTCACTAGGCTGATGCCTTGCGTACAAGTGTCCTTGCTCGTAACCCCGGAACCCCTCCTGCCCTCTTTTCTAATAGGAAGAAAGTCGGAACCAAGGTAATAGTTGCACAGCAGGGTGAACCATAAGGGTGGCTGGCTGGCAGCTTGCGTGTGGCTGCTGGGAGGGCCAGAGGGGACGACCTCTCCTCCTCCTCTCTCTCTCTTTCTGCCCAAACCAAGCTAACTCCTGCCAGCAGCATGCGATGATTGTTTCGTCTGTGCAAGATGATTTAACACCAGGTCTCCTGGTAAAAAGAGACACTGAGGGGCGCCTGGGTGGCTCATCGGTTGAGTGTCTGACTCTTGATTTTGGCTCAGGTCATGATCTCACGGTTCGTGAGGTGGAGCCCACATCGGGCTCTGTGCTGACAGTGCAGAGCCTGCTTGGGATTCTCTCTCTCTCTCTCTCTCTCTCTCTCTGCCCTTCCCCTGCTCTCTCTATCTCTCAAAATAAACATTTTTTTTCTTTTAAAGACAAGCTGATTTTCATAGCAGCATCAGTGAGAATTGGTGTGGGAAATCAGGTGGTCTTGAGGGGATAGGTCTCAGGATTTGGAAGTTTTGCTGGAGTGAGAAACGGAAGACACATTTGAAGCATACAGTTCAGTGGAGGAGAACAGCAGAGCTGACTAAGTACCAGGGGACGGGCAGCCAGAAGTCGAGTAAGGCGCACGCTTTGTTCTGAGAGGGATGGTGCAGGTAGGGGTAAGGGAGTGTTTACAAACTGCTTTGGCTTGGCGCCGCAGCTCTCTTAGTTACCTCCCTGGAACCATCTTCCTCTCGCCTCCACGTGGAGAATTTCTTAGCACATTTTACGTAGGTGGTTCTCAAAGTACAGTCCCCGGCCCGGCAGCATCAGCACCACCTGAAACTTGTGGGAAGCGTGAGCTCTCAGACCCTACCTCAGACGTCTGAGTCGGTCTCTGGAGGGCGGCCCGACAACGCGTGTTTGAAAAGCTTTCCAAGGGCTCGCAGGGCGCACTCGGCTTGGAGAACAGCAGCTTTGCGCAGACCTTCCTCCAGTCCTGCTCGTGCTGCCTCCCAGCCTGCTCCTGGCTGTTCCTCCGTGACCTTGCCTGTGTTGTTGTGTAAACCTAGAGCACCCCATTTTACCACTTCACACTCCTAGGCCTTGCCTCCTGAGAAACCTCCCCCCATTTTAATGCTCATCTCAAACATGCCTTCCTCTGCAAAGTTTTTTAATTTATCTACTCACTCATTCTTGCATTTCTTCAGCACACGGTTATTGTCTCCTCTGTGGCGGGCTCTGTGTTGGTTGTAGGGGAATCAGCAGCTACCATAACGGATGCCGTTAGAAAGGTAGGAAAAGGCCAGGCATGAAGGGAAGGCTGTGGGAGCGACAGGAGGCGGGATTTGCTGGGCAGCCAGTGAAGGGTTTTGAGACGGGCACAGGTGCGATCTGTGCAGTAAGTGTGTCCCCTGACTCCTGAGGGAAGGGCAGATTGTAGGAGGGCCCAGCTAGGAAGCTCTGTGAGAGCCCAAGGGAGATGATGGCGGCTCTGACTAGGGTGGTCATCGGGGCCATGAAGAGAAGCAGACTTATCTTGTGGATGGAACAGATGGGTTTTGGTGATGGAACAGTTGTGGAAAGAGGGAAAGAAAGTAATTGAGGGTGACTTCGAAGTTTTTAGCCTGAGCTACTGGGCGCATGGTGCCTTTGCTGACTCTCTTCCTCCCGCCTTAGATCATTCGTGCATTGGAGCCACACCCCGACCTGTGTACCACACCTAGTAGACAATGACATCGGTCATGAACCCCCCTCCTCCACTCACCAGCTTGGGCCAGTTACTTGGACATTTCTAAGATTTGGTCTCCTCATCCAGAAAATGAGGATACCACCACCCCCTGCCTCCTAGGGAAGATGTGAGAGTTAAACGAACCACAGAAGGTAAAGCACTTGGCCGGCTGCCTGGCACAGAGTAGGCTCTCCATGCATGGCAGCCGTTATTATCACTGTTACATGTCTTAGGCCACAGCACTTGGCCCATGACTGCTGAATGGATCTGATGGGTGTGTGCAGCCTGGCACTGTTCCCTCTTCTCTGTGCAGGCAGTTGAATGAAGACTTCCATCTAGTGGCTTTTTTTTTCTTTCAGTTTTTTCCTGTCCATAGTCATTTGAAAAAAGCCCTGGTCACTGGTACTATGATGAAGAGGACCTTAGCCTTTCCTACTGCTGTTCCTTGCTATGGGTACAGTTATTAAAATAAATGATGCTGCTGGTGGCAGGTGAGGAATCTGACCCTCCTTGTGTTTCAAAAAGGCAAGGACAGGGAGTATTTTTAGAAGGGTTATCATTTGGCCCGAGGGTACAATTAATGCTTTATTTGGAGTTAAAGACATTGGCCTGCCAGCAGCTAGAGCTGCAGGTGCGGGGAGGAGGTGGGCAAAACTGGGCCCCTGGGAAATAAGACGTGGCTGGTGCAGTGGCTGGGGATAGGGGTCCCTGGAAACACTTTACACATTTCTTTGACTCTCAAGTTTAGGAGGAGTGCTCAGCACGACTTGTTCTGGCAGTAAACGAACAGGAAGTCATTATCTGTCCCTAGCACCCCGCTGAAACTGCATCTTCATCACGATGGTGAAGACGCACCATGTTACCAAGCCCAACAGATGCTTCTCTGCGCTCAGCTACACCTGCCAGTGACATTTGTCACAGAAGATGTACTTTACTCTCTTGGCCGCCGTGACACAGCTCTTCTCCCGCGCTTCCTCCTAAGTCACTGGCCATTCTTGCTCAGTCTCCTTCACTAGGTCTTTCTCCCTCAACTGACCTCTGCATGCTAGAGAGTCCCAGGCTGGGTCATGGGACTTGTTCTTTTATTCCTAGGTGATCCGGTACAGTAGGTATCAGTTGAATGAATGAGCCCAGCAACAGCGCTGTCTCTCTCTAGGGAGAACCAAGGCGGTGAAGACACGGTTCCTCCCTGGCTCCTACCTAAGACCACCTCCCTCACCTCCCAGGTCAGAACTCCATCGATCCCCTGCATCGATGTGCTCCAGTTCCTTTCTGCCGCACTGCCCAGCCCGGGTTCGAGGCCTGATCGTCTCTCCGGTGGTTTTACCTCATCGTTGCTACCCAGGGACGGACAGCACAAAGCCCAAGCACATGGAGTTAAGATTACAGCTACAAGTGCAGTTAGGGATCGTGTCACAATGTCATGGAGAAGTTGAACCTTCTCCAGCAATAGCTCACCCCTGAGTGCAGTCACAGCCGGTGGGGATCCAGAGAGGACCAGGGACACCTGAGGGCTAAGGTTGGGTCTTACTTTGGGAGGCCAGGAGAGTAGACATTTCTGAGTCTGTACTGCAGAGAAATGTTGACTTCACCATCAAGCTGTGCTCAGTCTGAAGAAAGAATGTTATTGTAGAAGGGGTCAGATGAGCATGGGCTGAGAGGCCAGAACTGGTGAGTGGTGTTATAAACAATTTTGGGGCAATCAGGAACACTCTGATCTCTACAGGTTGTCCTCTGTCTTGATGAGTACAAACCTCCTTAGGCCTCACCTTTCCCAGAAATGTCTCTACCCCTCCCAGGACTGGTTCTGAGCTTACCTAGCATCCTGCCTCCTCTCTGGGAAACAGAGGGGTTGATCTGGAGAGCAGCAAAGCCCTAAGGAGCTGAGCACCAAAGAGTAGCCACCACTGTGTGGGCCCCCCTAGTCCTGGGTGTCTGTATCACAAAGCCTGCCCTTCAGGGCCTAAGTTTCTACAGACGTCCTAACAAAATCTGAGTTTTGAGTGCCAGGCACATCAAGATACAGTGACCCTGGGAGGCTCTGTCTGGGCAGCCAGCTGATTGGTCTCTCTCTCTCTCTCTCTCTTTTTCTTCTAGATTTAGAGTGAATGCTTTCTAATCTTCCATTCCCTTTCTTACTGTAATGAGCTTACTACAACGCAAACTTGAACTCACATTTATTCAAGAGGGTGTTCTTGAATAAACCCTCACAGTTTGCGCCTTTCTCTGCACTTAGCTTTCTCTCTTCTTCACTCTCCTGCTGTGAACTGAACTATTTCTTCTGAACAGACTCAGGCCTTTCCAGCTTTCAGAACCTCGGCCCATGCTGCTGCCTCTGTATGTCATGACCTAACCATGCCACCCAGCCTCCATGCTTTCCTTCTCTGCCAGGTAAACTCCTAGCCATCCTTCAAAACCCCAGCTCAGGTGCACTGGGAATCCTCTGTCCTCCCTAGACCGCCCTGTGGGCATATCTCTTTCAAAGCAGTTGTCACGCTGTATTTTATTCTGACTCATTTCTCTTTCCCTACCACTGACCTGTGTGTCCCTGGGATGGGGACAGTCTCCCATCTCTGCCTCCTCAGCACCCGGCTCAGTGCCTGGAACAGGGACACTAAATATTTGTTAACTCAGTAGGTGAGGTAAGCTAGCTGAGGAATGCAAATAATGCAAACACATAAGGCAGTACGTAACGAGATGTGTAGGACTAAGTATAAGATGGCTGAGAACTCAAAACTTAGAGCCAAACTTCATAAAACCCAAAATAAAAGCAAAGCAAACCCAAACATTTTTAAAGCACTTAACAACGTTTTATGCCACAATAAGCCCTTCACAGTCAATGAACCCCACACCAGCGGCTGCACAAAATGGGTGCGTGTTCATTACAGGGGAGGATATAGACCCAGAGACTTGCCCACAGCACCACATGGCCCTGCTGAATTTAACCCGTGTCTCCTGGACTCCACAGCCCATGCTCTTTTTTACACCCCCTTAAAAAGACACCTTTTTTTATGGGGAATTTCAGCTAGGTAGAACTATATATAAAGGTGGAGAGAGAATAGAATAATGGCCCCCCTGTCTCCCCACTTCAACAACCAAAATCCCACGGCTAATTTTCAAAATCTCTGTGGCTGCAAACCCCCTCTCCCGTCTGAGATTATTACATAAGTATCACTTCATCTATAAATATTGCAGGAGTCATGCTCGATGTTGTACTCCTTGCATTTTAATTTAAAAGGTATCAAAGTAACACGTACACTTGATTAGAAGAAATGCTGGTACACACTGAGAAGAAATGCTGGTAAAGAAAAGCATTCCCTGCCCCACGTCTTGTCCCAGCGCCCCAGTCCCCAGCAGCTTCCACTTTTCATTTGCCCGGAGCTTGCCCCATATTTCTACAGGTTTTTGATTGTTTGAGTTATCAGCCATAGACATCATTTACTGACTTCCCAGCTGACAAATGAAGATTATGTAACTCACACTCCACCACCCTTTTCCTGTATTTATTGACCATCTTGATAACTTTAAATAATGAAGCTCTATTTCTCGCTGTATCAGTTGTGGAGTTTCTCTTTCACACTTTTGCTCCCTCTTACAATCACAGGTGATTTATCTTCTAAGGTCAAAGGGAAGACACAAAACCAGCTTAATTACTAACCTACTTCACTGATGCTTGTGTGAAATACAGGTCCTTTCTGCTAGGAATTACGATGTAGGTGCCCCTGTCAGAAGCTATGGGCAGATAGCCAAATTGTTTTACTTCCCAGCTGAGCATCCTCGGGCTTGCAGAAAAATGTCAGCTACTTGATTATGTTCCACGGCGCTGCATGCACACCCCCACGAAACCACCTTGCCTTACCACCACGCTTGAGTCCAATGTTAGGTGGCTCCGTTTCTTCTCTTGAGAGATGGGGCCACTTTATCGTGATAGTACCAGGCACACAGTAATCCCTTAGTGGATGTTTGTTAAATGAATAAGTGATACATGTTTAAAGAGGCAAACGTATGAAATAACGAGAAACCAATTCGCAAGCAACAGACTGGCAAACCTGTGGGAGGAGAGGGTGTGGAGAAAGCGGAGGTCGGTCTCACTTGCTGTTCTAGAACGTAAATTCGTGTAGCCGTTTTGGGAAGCAATTTGGCAATGCCATAGAAAAGCTGACGGCAGGCATGGCCCACTCTGCTCCTACCTACTGGCCTGGAGCAGGGTCAGAAACGTTGTCGCTTTGTCTACAAAGGGCCGGACAGGAGATCCTGGAGGCTACGGGCGCCCACGGTTTTTGTTGCAACTACACCACCCCGCCCTTGTAGGATGAAAGCACAAGCACACAATTAGTACATGAGTGGATGTGACTGTGTTCCAATCAAACTTTATTTACAAAAGCAGGTACTTGTTTGCATTTGGCCTGCCTATTGTCTGCCCACCTCTGACCTAGGGAAGCTCTTCTCTGTGTGTGAGGTTTATGTATGCCCTCTCCTGTTTGCGACAGAGAAAACTGGAAGCAACCTACATCCATCAACGGAAAACTTCATAACCTATGATGTATATACAATGAAATGCTACATGTATCACCATGGATAAATCTCAAAAACAAAATGAGAAGCGAAGAAAGCAAGTCGCAGAAAGAAATATTATGGGATGGTTAATTTTTTTTTAATGTTTATTTTTGAAGGAGAGAGAGAGACAGAGCATGAGCAGGGGAGGGGCAGAGAGAGAGGGAGACACAGAATCCGAAGCAGGCTCCAGGCTCCATGCAGTCAGCACAGAGCCCGACGCGGGGCTCGAACTCACGAACTGTGAGATCGTGACCTGAGCCGAAGTCGGACGCTCAACCGACTGAGCCACCCAGGTGCCCCTGGGGTGGTTAATTTTATGTGTCAACTGGCCACGGTGGTCAGATTTGGACAAACGTTATTCTAGATGTTTCTGTGAGGGTGTTTTTGGATGAGATTAACATTTAAATCAGTAGACTCTGAAAACAGTAGATTGCCCTCTGTAATGGGGAGGGGGGTGGCCTCACCCAATGGGTTGAAATCCTTAAAAGAAGAAAGACGAGTGCTCCCCTGCCCCAGGGAAGGAATTCTGCCAGCAGCAGGTGATCTTTGGACTTGAACTGCAACGTTGGTTCTTTCTTAGGTCTCCAACCCGCTGACCCCTTAATCTGGGACATGTAGACTCCATTATCCTGTGAGCAAATTCCT